ATATTCTCTAACCTGGATGCCATGTCCTTCTTCATATACTACAGCTTCTCTGATTCTTTGCTCAGTATGCAGGTTCAATAGGTATGGTGAAAGTTGTAACCCTGATGCACACCTGTATTTTAAACAAGGCAGCATTACCTTGTTCCGTTTGAATGACTGCCTCTTGCTCCTGCACAGGTCCCACATGAGCACGCTAACGTGTTCTGGAACTCGCATTCTTCTCAATGTTATCCATAGTTTGTTATGATTCACAGTCTAAAACTTTTGCAGAGTCAATCAGAAAACATGTAAACATCTTCTTGGTATTCTCTGCGTTCAGCCAAGATACACACGAGGTCAGCCATGAGTTTCTAGCCATGTGTTTCTTCTGAACGCAGGTCTTCTTCTGAACGCAGATTGAATATGTGGTAGCTCCCTGTTCTTCTGAACGCAGATTGAATATGTGGTAGCTCCCTGTTGATTGATGTACTGCTGTGACCATTGTTGAATTACCTTTAGTAAAATTTTAATGGCATGTGATATTAATATTGTTTTATAATTTATACATTCTATTGGGTCAATGTTGGGGGTAATGGGCACAAATATGGATCTCTTCCAGTCTGTTGGCTAGGTAGCTGTTTTCCAATTTTTGTTTAACAGAAAAGTGAGTGTTTGCAGTGCTTCATCAGCTTGTTGAAACATTTATTTTGTTATTCTATCAGTTGATGAAGGGGTCCTGGTGGCATAGGCATTACATGTTGGGCTGCAATCAGAAAGATCATCAGTTCAAAACCACCAGCCACTCCATGAAAGAAAGAGAAGGCTTTCTACTCCCATAAAGAGTTAGTCTCAGAAACTCACCTGACCCTGGCCTATAGGGTCACTGTGAATTGGTATCAACTTGATGGCAATGAGTTTGGTTTTGATATGGTCAATTACTGGAGCTTGTTTATGCTAGTCCTTTGTGCCATGTGGACAACTTTTTTCAATATCATTGATTCTTGATCATATACTACCTCTTGAAATAGTAAGTTGTTGATGAATTCTTTTTGGTACAGTGATTCTGCATCTTCCTTTCATCTTCTTTTTATGATTCATGCAATATTTTTTCCATGAAATCCTTGAATATTTGAACTCATTCAGTAGAATTTCCACTTGTAGATGGGCGAAGATGGAAGTCTTGGCCATCTACGGCTGAAAACCAACCACTTTCCTTCTGTTGGGCGTGGCATCCCCAGGAGTCAGTCAACATGAGTGGGGCCTAAGCTGGGTGAGCTAACAACCAAATCAATCTCTCTCCATCTCTCTCGATGCTATTTGCAAATGAACAGCCATGGAGGTAGACATATCTGCCCTCCTCTGGCTTCCTTACTGCTACCAGGCAAGCGTCAGGCATGCCTCTGCTCTCCGTCCTTCATTAGGTATTCTAACATCAATCTTTCCACACTCCACATCAATGCCTTGGTTCCATAATTCCCCCAAACAAACAAACAAACAAACAAAAGGTTGCAATGGCCACCCAGAACTCACAGACAATACTCACAAGTAAGAGGGTTTCTTAGGGAATTTAATAGGTTATCACAGGTCAGGATCACCATTCAGTAGGTATACAGTCACTGGTCTCCTCAGTCAAAAACCAAACCTCTCTTTGGTTCCCAGCCTCTCAGCCACACGGTTCCTTAACCTTTGTGTCCAAGGGCCTGGAAGGGCTGGTCACTCTGTGCCACAGTTCGGTAGCCTTGGACCAGCTGAGAAGCTACCCCATAGTCTCCGAGCTGATCGGCTCAGGCTCCTTGCCAAAGTCCCTGATGCAGCTGGAGTCAGCGCCTCAGCCACTTCAGACGGAGACCTTGAAAGTGCGCTTCCCTGGTCCTGGGGCTGCTCTCTCTGCTGCCGTTTTAAAGACGGCTTTTTCTTGTAACCAGGGGGTACAAACTGACTAAAACCCTCGGTTAGTGTTACATGCACCCTGTTTGCATTGTCCCACTCAGTCATTTGGTGGGCATTATAGAGACTTGGACAGACAAGCCGTATTACCAAATCTTACTCTACCACACTCCAAGAACTCTATTGGCCTTCAATTAATAACAATAGGCATGTACAATTTAATTTTTTTTAAAAAGAGAGAAATGGTAATTCCTTCTCAACTGGCATACGTTGTTAACTGCAGTTGCACTTATAATTTTTCTTTTTGGTTTACCAAAGGGCAGTGTTATATAATTTACATGGCCCGTTTTGGAAAACAACAGTTGGCTTACAAACACAGCAATACCTTTTATATGTAAATGAGTAAGCCTTCCATAAACAAAATAAGTTTTCTGGCTTCTTTAAGAATTAATCTTTGTTGAAAATGTGCACAGCGTGTTCTGATTCATTTCTAGCCATGACCTGGTGACACTGACTATATTTTCTTTTTTTTTACTATATTTTTCATAGTGTCAACGTTCTAGCTGTTTCTGCTGTAGTTGTTAACACTCAGACATGTTTTGATTATGGAATACCATTTTAAATATGAAGGAGAAGACTTGCCACAATTGTTTATTGAACCGTTCGCGTTTACACGTGATAATAACTGTCCTTGCTACGCTCTTCATTCAATTCCATTGCTTTTAAAGAATGGGGTTTTCTTTTTTTTTTTTTTAACATTTTATTAGGGGCTCATACAACTGTTATCGCAATCCATACACACATCAATTGTGTAAAGCACATTTGTACATCATTCTCAAAACATTTTCTCTCCACTTAAACCCCCGGCATTAGGTCCTCATTTTTCCCCTCTCTCCCCGCTCCCCACTCCCTCATGAGCCCTTGATAGTTTATAAATTGGTATTTTGTCATATCTTGCCCTGTCCGATGTCTCCCTTCACCCACTTTTCGGTTGTCTTTCCCCCAGGGAGGAGGTCACACACAGTTCCTTGTAATCGGTTCCCTCTTTCCTACCCATTCTCCCTTTACCCTCCCTGTTTCGCCACTCACACCCTCTTTCTACCAACACGCTATTGAATTATACTTATTTCCCAAGTTAGTAACATACCAAACTTTTTATGAAAACAGCTTCAAGGCTAAGACCTATTAACTATAAGCTGAGTAGGACTGACTCCCAGGGGCAAGTTTCCTTCTACTTTAGAGAATGGTCCCTCATTCCCTTCCCTTCTGTGGGTCTCAGGTGATTATTTGTAAAATGAGACACTTGAACAAAGTTTCCTCTGACTTTGAACTACATCTGGAAGTGAAAGGGAATGAGGCCAACACGGAGGTCAACAATTCACTCGCGGTGCTGCAGCAGCAGAGCTAGGTGGCAATGTCAGGGGCCCTACGCGCTGAAAGAAGATTCTGAAAGATGGGACGGGTCCCGCCCACGCCGACATAAACCACTTATGGCGGCGAGGAACTACACTTCCCAGAATGCCGCAGCAGGCGCCTCCGAAAGCACCAATAAGTGCCCGGGACTTGGGTGACGCCATCACCCAGCGCAGTGTTTGGGCTCCACTGATGTCGTGGCGTTCCGGGAGAAGTTGATTCTCTGCCAGACCCCGAGTGGTGCCGAAGAGCTGATCCAGACCGTTTTCTGGCCTCTCCTTTCCTACCCTCTTCCCGCCTTTTCCTCCTTCCTGTGACAGGATGAGGCGTGCAGGCCTGGGTAAGAAAGAGGGGCGAAATTCGGAGTTCTGGGGAAGCCTAGAACCGGCCATGCTGGGCGCGGGGCGCGCGAGGAAATCGGACCGGCTGTGACACTGACCTATGGGCCAGAAAGCAGGATGTGTGAAGGGGCACCTGGACTGAGTGCTAAGTGGAAACACCAGTTGCCCCAGATCTTAGGGTTTCTCAAGTTTAGGTCCGATCCAGTGTAGACGGTAGGTTCGAGAGCGTACTACAGGCACGGACTTGGAGTGTTAGTAACTGTCTGAGTGTGATGTTGTCGACTACTGAGTTGCCCAAAGCTCGATTCCAGTGCCTTCTGAACGGCTTTAGTCCTTAATGTCAGAAGGGAAGTTTAAAAAGTGAGGTTTGCTAGCAAAGCACGCCAATAAAGGTCTTTTTATTTTTATTTATTGTTTTGGTCAGGTAGCAGTGAGTTACAAAGGTGAAATGTACGTGTCAGTTCTGTCAAAGGCCCTGGTATGTTTAGCAGGGTCAAAGATCATTTTACCCAGAGCATTCATCTGAACCTGTTTACACATAAGTCAGCACAGTGTGGGAAGGCTTAGTGAAGGAGCATTTGTTTATGTCCTTCTGATTTAGGAAGCAGGTAGACCATGCAGCAGGAATAAGCTAGGGCCGTGGACCTGGGATTTCAGTGGACCTTTCTAATACACCAGAAGGGCCCTATCAGGTCTGTGGGCTAGTTGGTGGACTGCCCGCCACAGGTTGACATCTCAAACCCACCAGGCTTCTGTGAGAGTAAGATAAGGCTGTGGCTGCCATAAAGAGTTAGTCTCAGACACTCTCTATAGCAGCAACTTGGGGGGTCTTGACCCCATTAGGGAGTGAACGGCCCTTTCACAGGGGTCACCTGATTCTAACAGTAGCAAAATTACAGTTATAAGTAGCAACGAAAATAATTTTATGGTTGGAGGTCACCACAACATGAGGACCTGTATGAAAGGATAGCGGCATGAGGAAGGTTGAGAACCACTACTCTATAGGATCTCAGTGAGTCAATAATGGCAATGAATTATAATTTACCAGAGGAGCCATGGTGGCACACTCAGCTGACCAAAAGATGAAACGCACAAACCTGACCCTGGGCAGAAGGAAGATGTGGCTCTGCTTTTATAACAAGTAGAGGCTTGGAAACCTACTCCGTCCTATAGGGTGACTATGAGTGGAAGCCTTTCAGTGATGAAGAACTTGGTTCGGTGTGGTTTTTATAATGCACATCTATTAAAGCAGCTTTTTCTGGTTCTGAAGCTCTCAGTAAAGTAACCATACAAAAAGCAAAAACAAAATCCTGTGAAACGTTCCTATATAATGACAAAGTATATAAGGTGGTTTTAAAAGATGTTACCTTTCTCAGTCAGGTACATTATGTACTTAGATAGACAAAGGGACATTTTTTCTAAAATTGCCAGTGACTTTAAGCTACCAGTGACTATAAACTTGTACATTAATTAATGAGTTATAGTATGAGAAAGTTTATTATTATGATAATGTAGTTTTTGTAAATACTTGTACTAAAGAAAGTTTTCCAGGTAAATTAAAGAGAAAATATGACTTCTGAGCAAGATTAGTATCATTAATAACCACAGATATTTATTATATACTTGAACAGGCCCTCTTTGTGTCCTCCATCCTCCCCCATCCCCACCCTCAAGGTCCCAGTCTACCAAAGAAATGGGACTATGCATTAAGATGAAGTATAAAAAATAGCAGCTATATATATGGTCAAATACTATATGAAGTCTTGGAGATGGTGAATGTCTCTGATTTTTGTTAAGGTTTAGGAACTTCAATTGAACCTTGAATAATTTAGGGTGGGAAAGGTAAGTTCCAGATAAGAACATGATCCCTGCCACCCCCCAATAGAGAATGTGTGGTTGTTAACTGCTGTTAAGTCAGCATAGACCCACATGAAACCTCTGTAAAGCAGAAGGAACAGTTGCCTCATCCTCCATCCTCAGCATCATTCATATTCTTGAGTCTGTCAGAATGGGAATGATGTGTTTCAGGGATTATAAGTAGGCCAAACTGATTGATGAATGGAACATGAAGACATATTGTGAAAACCTGTGAATAACAGGCAAAGGGGTCCAGACTTGATCAGTGGCTAGCCCCCTTCCAATGTCTTAATGCAGTAGTGTGCCATATTACAATAAAGGAAGTGGACTACATCAGTGGCACTCAACCTGGATTGTACAGTAGAATCACATTAAAGTCAACCAAGTATTGGTACCTAGACTCCAACCCCAAACAACTCTATTGGAATCTCTAGGAAAAAAATTGTTTTTGAAACATATACTATCCTAAGTGCTTCGCTGCTAACGTAGCAGGTGCTCTACTTCCATAAAGGTTTGCATCCTCGGAAACCTTTTGGGACAGCTCTTCCCTGTCCTTCAGGGCCTCTGTGAGTTGGAAACGGACAGCAGTAGCTGTTGGGTGTTTTACTTTTTAAAGTAGGAGGGGCTTTAAAAGTCTATGGCAAAATTGAACTAAAAGATGATGGAATTTCTCCAAGAACTTTCTGAAGTTCCCTGGTATTACTGCAGATGAACCTGCATTTTTAAAATTTGGCCAAGTAATGGATTTATAAATATTTGAGTGCTAACGCTGACACATATTACACAAATAGCTAAATAATTTGGTTCAGTTATTGATAGACACTTCCAAGAAGGGAAGCATTTGTTCATCTCAGTTAACAAAGGCTGAGGATTATCTCTGGCGCTCTGGCTTTTGTACAGTTTGTCAAAGCAACAATTCACGCAGAAAGAAGTGGCTGAGTTTGGAATAGCAGCTCCTGGCATTTTATTTGCTTCACATTGTTTTTATTTCTTTGATTCTTGGGATAAATGATGCAATGAGGGAAGATCAACTCTTGGCTAGGAGAACTGTGTTTAGAGAGAGCTCTGGAGGATATCTTTCTTGACTAGAACAGTATGGAAGAGCTCTAAAATTTTCGAGAAAGTTTGGCCAAAAGAGCAAACCAAAGGATAGAAAGCAAATCACCATTCATTTATAAACAGATTCCCTGGTGAAGCTGCTAGGTAATTAAATACAACCGATGAATACTTTTAATGATGTCTTAGACTTTTACAGTAGTAACATGTTTGGAAAGCTTCCTGCCTAGTGTGTCAGCAGTAGAGAAAGAGTGGTACTATGCCTGCTGGGAATGTACTCATTCCACATTTTGCTGTGATTTTTGTGGTCGTTATGCATGGGGAGCATAGAAACGGGGCACACATACTGTCCGTGGAGACGCATGCGATTCTATTCTTGAGAAGGCATGGCCATTAAAATTTTAATAGCAGTGACCAGATTCTATTCTTTAATGATTTTTGTTTACTTGTATTTTATTGTAAATAAATGTGTTACAGAGTGTGGGGGAGGCTTGAGGGGATGTACACTAATGAGTGAAGTGGCCTTAATGTCTGCCCTTCTAGTGAAAGCAGCATGTAATAGAAATTTTCTATACATTGAGAGCTTTAAGAATTCAAAGGAAGTACTCAGCTTTGCTTCTTAGAGTAGGTGAATTTGTGCTGTGCCTTGTGAAATAACTTCCTATTCTCGCCTCAACCCTCCTTCATCTACAAGCTACCAAGGACCTCCTTCGACCCTTGTAGCTCTTCCTGTTCCTCTGCCTGCTGTTGGATCTCACTGAGACACATTCTTTTTCTTAACACCCTTATCTCCACATGCTCAGTTCACTATCAGATCTGCTTCAATTCCGGTCTAATCATGGCCCCATGGTCCACATCTTCAACCATTCTTTTTGCAAGCAGTCTCAAAAAGATTGGGGACTTTGTTCTATGGCTCCCACATATACTCTTCTATCTCTAGATCCATCGAGCCATCCACCTTCTCATCTGCTAATCTGGGCTAGCAGTTCTGGATCCAGGAGACTTGACTCCATTATGATTTTTGGCATCAGCTAGGTGTGTGTATCCATTGCCCTGGTAACCGTGGGTAGCCCTACTCACTGTACTCCATCGTAAAATTTATTCTAAACAATCACCATTTTAACAGATTATCCTTTCTCTTCTGTTACGTTATTGCCTGATGAACAGAAAGTGTATTAATAGGGTTATGGCTACTGAATTATAAACATCGCCCCTTAGAAAATAAGGTCTATTAAAAGTAGAATGTAGAACAATGGATCTGACGGTAAGCATTCAAATATTTGTTGGATTAATAACCCCTTCTTTAACTTCTTAGCTCATAATGTGTACAAAGTATTCCACCCCTCTTCTAGAGCATCAACTTCTTGTTTTCCGTTCTCTTTGCCTCTTCCTCACTCAGCTCTCCCTTATGGTGGTAGTGGTGTGGTGGGGGAGAGGGAAGGCTGGAAAAATGTGGAAAAACGGATTTAAAAGATAATGGTCTTTTTCCATGAACTTTTTGAAGCCCCCTAGATCAAGGTGCAGGTAAAGGACTCTCCTTTGGCTTTGGGCTTTCTCTCACTCTTGTCCGCGTTCTCCCTTTTCACAGTCAGACTTCTTCAGCGGGGAAGCTGATGTTACCCCTTTTTTATTTTATATAAGAATGTATGCTTCCATTGACTAGGAAAAGCTGTCTGATCATGGTCTTATGTAAGTGACTGTTTTATTGTCTGTGGGAAATCAATGTATATTGGAATGAGCTCAGTATTCTTGGTTAAGAGAAGGCAACAGAGAAAATATTCTTACGTCTATCTATTCATTTTTAACGTAAAGTGTAGATATGATAAGCATGCGTGGTCTACAACGCCCTCCAGGGGTCTCTTCTGGTTCTTTCCTAACTAGTAAAGTTTCAGCATAACTTCTGTTTTTGCTAAAACTCTGATTGGAAATCTGACTCTTGCAGGTGAAGGAGCCGCTCCTGGGAATTATGGGAACTCTGGCTACGCTAACAGTGGTTACAGTGCCTGCGAAGAAGAGAATGAGAGACTCACGGAAAGTCTGAGAAACAAAGTGACTGCTATAAAATCGGTGAGTATACAGCAGGTATCATAGACTTGTGTTACATATAGAGAGCACTTATTTAAAATATACCATTATCCTTGGAGTATGGCATGGGAGGTTGGGGAAAATGGGGAGTGAATAACGAGTACAAGAATGGAGAAAATGTTCTAAAACTGATTGTGGTGATGTTTGTACACCTCTTCTTGATGTGACTGAATTATTGAATTATTTGTTATGTTAATGATATGACAGTATAACTATTGGGAAAAAAAATATTGTTGTAGTGGCATGATACTAAGTGATTTAATTACCCAAATAACTATAATTTGGTACGGTCCAAACACTCAAACTTGAGAACATTATTTCGGTTGAAGGTTTGAAAATGTGGCTGAAAGATATAGTACCTTAGTTAGTGCTTTTTTGTTGTTGTTGTTCTTTAACATCAGCCATGTTTTCTGTTTAAATCTAAAATACTTTATAGGTTGACCACCTATCCATTATCAGTGATTCAGTTCAGAATCGTAGTGACCCTTTATAGAGGTTTCCGAGATTGCAGTCTTTGTCCTCTTTCTCCGTCAGAGGGCCTGGTAGGCTTGTAGCTCAACTCCTCAATCCTGTAATGCATTCTTCACGGGATTTGTCTCTATTCCACCTTTCCTGTTTCTTGGCACCTGAGTTTCTTAGGTGGGCTGTTGAGGAAGACTCACCCCTCTCTGTTCCTAGTTGTTTGCATGTCTGGGAATGAACTCCCCAATGTCACCACAATGCTCTCGTTTAGGGTAGTATTATTTAACTTGTGTCACTGTACTCCCCTAAGTCTTCAGTGTGCTCCCATGGTTTAATAAAAAAAAGTCCATATTTGGCCCAAGCGCTTTAGACTTTGTCAGTCATCTGCACTCAGGGTGAATATATTCTTTCTGCCAGACAAATTTGAATCTCCCCCATATCCTGTGTACACTAGTCACTTGCCCCTTTATATCTTTGATCACACTATCCCTTTGCTTTAATTATTGTATCCTTGCTTACATTGGCTAAAACCCTACCCGTCTTAAAAAAAACAAACCCGTCTTCATCACATCCCTTCTCTTCCCTAAGCTCAAAATCTAAACATCCCTTTTTCTCTTATGAATATAAGATCACTTGCTGTTACACTTACTGCCTAGTGATTTGCATTGAAATTATATGTATAAAAAAATTTTACCAGATGATAGAATTTGCAGTTAATTTTTATTCTCTATACTAGCATAAATTTCTTATCAGTGAAATTAATTAATATAGTAAATATGTATGGAATAAAGAAATTACAAAAAGATGATTTTAGCAATGTATTTGTTTGCTTCTGCATTATGGTAAACATGCTTATTTACTTGATAGGGCATTCAGTAGATGACATACTGCTGAATTTAACTGGTATTTCAATATAGTCTTAGGAGAAGTGAGTTATATTCAGCCGGGAGACTTACATTCTGAAACTGAATTATTTCAACAGTTGTATTAAATCATAAGAAGGTGGCCCATGGACAGAGAATGTTGGATAGTGTTAATATTTTGGAAAAAAACATTTGGAGACACTTATTAAATGTTTCTTATATGTAATTCAAATGTTCATAACTGACTCTCGCAGCATTTCTTTACTACTTGAATGGCAGGGTAGTAGGACCCTGATGGACTTGTACTCTCAGCTTTCCAGTTACTTATTTATCTCTGGACAGTCAAGTTTGCGGGGGGAAGTTACATGTTCTCACCTATAGAATTCTACTGCCATTTTGTGTCATTATTATCTCCTATGCTTTTCATCCAATTAAATTTAAAAATAGAGTTAAAGAATGACATTTCTAATGATGTGTCCAGATTTTCAGTAACTGACTATAGTTACTCAACTACCTTAAAGGGAAGGCTTTGATGAAATTGTCATGTGAAGTATTCGATTGGTTTTGCTTTAAATTGTTGGTAGGTGCCTTGAGTCAGTTCAAATTTATAGCAACCCCATTCACACAACACAGCGAAACAATACTGTCTGATGCTGAGCCAGTCTCACAATGTTGCAGCTGGTATTACCTACTCGTATTGTTTTCAGCAACCTTTCTGCATAACTTCAGATGTAGATTAAACTAACTTGTACATTTTGTTAAAAAATTTACTGTCATAGTTTAAGGAAAAAAGTCCCACTTTTGGAATCTATAGAAATGATCAATTTGGACATATATTTAAAGTTATGTCACATTTCATTTGGAAAACTCAATACTTTTCTCTGAAATTGGATTGCTTATATAATACATACAAACCTTTTAAAAGAAGAGAAAGAAAAATACAAATAAACATGAATAAAATACTGACAGAAAGGAATATCCAAGGACATGAGAACCAGGGCAAACAACAGAAGACAGTGTGTGTGTGGACTTGTGGGAAAAGCTCCATTATCTTAATTCCATTTTACCACAAACTTTCAGAAGCCCCCCCCACCCACCCACACATAAGAAAACTGTAAGACTTAATTGAATATTAAGATGAAATCGTAGTTAAGAGCAGTGAGAAAATGTCTACAATTGGGAGGGAATAAATGTTCTAAATTTATTTTCTTTTAAATTCACTTGGAAATATATTAGAAGGGATTATATCTTATATTTCTAGCACACAATGTGATTTGAGAAGAAATATATGCTTTATATCATTGAAATGCCTCTCTATATGAGTAATAAGAAGTATATTTTTCTTTTTGTTTCTTTTTTTTTTTAGCTTTCTATTGAAATAGGCCAGGAAGTTAAACATCATAATACATTATTAGCTGAAATGGTAAGTGAATTTTGATTTCAACAGTAAGAAATTTGAGGTGCTAGTCTCAGATTTAGCTAGAAACAGGAATGATACTATTTTAACGTGCTCCTTTTGATATACCCTGACGTACATAGCTGGTCCCCGAGAACCTTGTTGATGTCACTCAAACTGCGGTCTAGTAGACAAAGACGGAAATGCGTCTAAAACTAAAACCCTAAACTGAGAATTCGGAACTCTACCTTCCTGGGCTTAAATATTGATGTCCTCCTAATTAGAATTGTAGGAAAATGACATTGAAAGCATACCTACAGACCATATGTCAAATTCTCATCCATTTATACCTAATCAATTTGAATAACATTGCAATGACATTGCAAAGAATCGGAAACCAGAATCTTTAATTGTGCTCATAATCCTTAACTGTGCTCATGCAGAACCTGTACATAGACCAAGGGGCAGTTGTTTAAACAGAACAAGGGATACTGAGTGGTTTGCCATCAGGAGAGTTGTGCACCAGAATTATATCCCTTCCCTGTACTTATGCCATCTGTGCGCCGAGCAGATGATCCAAGGAGCTCGATGATGCGAAGAGGAGTATGGCATCAGGACTGAAGGAGGGCTCATTAACAGCCTGTGATATGGAGGTGACAGACCTTGGTTACTGACAAAGCAAAGAGAACAGGAAGCACCTGCCGATGAAGATCAAACACTGCAACATTCAATATGAATTAAACCCGAATGTAAAAAAAATAAAAACCAAAATGTTAAAAACATCGAAAGCCCTCACAGCTGGACCCGTATACAACAGCATGATAGAGAAAAGAGTGGAGTTTGTTTTACTTGGATCCAAAGCGACAGTCAGAGCTGATGGAAGCAGCAGTCAAGAACTCAAATGGCACATTGCCCTGGGCAAATCCGCTTCAAATGTCACAGAGCACCCGTGTCACTCTGAGCACGGAGGCGTACCTCACTCAAGCCAGGGCATTTCAGTTGCCTCATATGCATGGGAAAGGTAGAAGAAGAATCGATGTCGAATTGTGGTGCTGGTGAAGAATATTGAATACCGTGGATTACCTGAACAAGTCTGTCTTCATAGAGCCACGACCCATCCTTGTATGTTTGTTGTTCTGGCAAACTTCTTTGACCATCCCCAGTTTTACCATGGGCTTTTAAAATTGTTCAAAAATATACCATTTCCACATTCCATAAGCTCCCTACCACACAAATAAAAAACAAAACTGAAAAAACAATGTTCTGTACTAGACTCACCTGGGGAAGTTTTTGCACATAGCCTGGATCACTCTAGGTAGACTGCCGACTCAGAATTTCAGGTGAAGTGAAATAGATGTGAGTATTTTGGGGGAGTGGGGAAGGAACAATGAAAACACATATTGTGGGTGAAGAACCATAGATCTAAATTATATGAGCTGGGCTTTTGCTGTGCATATCGCTAATGTTTATTTAGCCGTGCTTTGCTGGCTACCGGTCAGCTGTATGTCTTACCTCCCAGTTACCCCATTCATACTGAGTCTCTATCGCGTTCTGCACTACCAGTGCATGAGACCCTTTCCCTTTTAGAATGCGCTACAGTCCTTAAAAGGCATTCACTGAAGTCAGAGCATCTTAAACTAAAAGTACATTCCACTGCTAACCATACTGAGTGTTGGATAAATACAACTATTTTACTCAAAAGCAACTGACGATGGGACCTTGTGGAATCAAACCAGACTAAATGTGGGGTAAGGTCAGTCTGAGAGTGGAAAAACTACCTAGCTTTATTATTAATGTTCTTAATCCACCTAATTGGAATAAACTTCAAATTGGTTTGAATTTTTTAATTACTCTGTGAAGCTTACAAAAAATGTTTATTGGATAACAAGAAAGCTTTTTAATTCATTAAGAGAACTGCTGTACTTTTGCATGGAATAATCAAACTGATTAGTCAAAGTTATAAACAAGCTCCTGAATTGATAAAAACATTGTCAGTTTAGGTACTTTAACAACAGAGTGCTCCGTTATTAGAACAGCCTGAGATTATTTGAGCATGTGTAGTGATTACAACTTGGGCTACGATTTGCATGGTTGGCAGTTCAAAACCACCTGTAACTCTGTAGGACAAAGACGGCCTTTAGTTCCTCTCAACAGTTACTGTCTTGGAAAACCACAGGGGGTCACTATGAGTCAGCAGTGAGTCTATGGCAGCAAGTTGGTTTGGGGTTTTTTTTGTGTACGTAAAATATTAGTATCTAACTTCTTAATTTCATTCCCCCCTCATAGGATTCACAGTTTGACTCAACAACTGGGTTTCTGGGTAAGACTATGGGGAAACTGAAGATTATATCCAGAGGGAGCCAAACCAGGCTGTTGTGCTATATGATGCTATTTTCACTCTTTGTCTTCTTTGTCATTTATTGGATTATTAAACTCAGGTGATATATTTAAGTGTGAATTTGGAATTGTCCCAACTTTGGGCTTCGTGGAACACCACTTTGATAAAAATCAGCATCAAGACATCTCTCATTTTCAAGTATGACTTTTTCCATTGATGAATTCAGGGCTCCGACCTTGTTTTATCAATCACATTAGTGCTCTTTGAGTACCATTTCTTAATGACTCTGTTTTGCTCCTATTTTCAGGGGCATGGTGATGGCTTGGAGTCAGGTTGACTCTATTTTTCTCCCCTATTGTTTGTCTAACATCACAGTGGGTAGCAATATAATAGTCTGTTATGACCATGAATTGGGCTAAAGTTCCATGAAAAGAACTTTTTAGTGGGACATGAGCACAATGTTTGGCGAACCCAGTGCTCTGCTCTGATGATGCAGAACAATTGGTGATAGAGGACCAGTAACTCCCTGAAGTCTCGCCAGCTGTGATGATGTTCTCCCTCCCCTTCTTTATGTGTTACCTACAATCTCTGTAACAATTTCTCATGATGTAGCTTCTGCTTCCTGACTGTCCAAAACGTCATTGTTTAATAAAACTTGTTATTGCGACAGATTTCTCATAAAGCCAAATATAAATGTTACCAGTATAATTACTGTTTTATATTAACTTTATAAATCCCAATGGCTTGATTTATAATTGTTTTATGACTTCAGCTACTTACTATGGGCTGTTTGGTTATTGTTTGCAACAAAACAATGTGACGTTAAGTAATTGCTAAGTTCTGAATGGAAATAAATTGCTCAAGAAGATTAATTGTTTCTGCTTTATTATATGCTCAAAATATATAAGAAAAATATCAAGGGACTGACCTTGGAGTTGTAGAGATTGTTGCATTACGCCACTATATTTGTTTATGGAAAGCAAAGCATACAGTTGGTTTGTGGAATAATTAGAAATATTAAAATATTACTAGATACTCTGTATTGCTACTATTTTGGAAGTTATCATCCATTTGTAAGCTCAGAAAATAAAATTTTAAATGAAATAGTAATAAACTTTGTTATTTTTGCTTGTCTTTTAATCCTGATAAAATTTGGCATACTTTTATCAAATTGTGATAAATTTCATAATTATCTTTTATGATCGCTTAAGAAAAAAAAGTTCAACGATGAGAAATACAACTTTCCTCTATTTTCTAAATGTTTCCTCCCCGCTCCCACTACCATGACTCGAATTCGATCTTGCAAGTCTGGCTAGACCAGAGGA